AGCTAGAGTAATACCGAGCTATAACAGCGCAAAATTTTAATTTATTATATAAATAGATTAATGAATATTTTATTACATGGACTATATATTCTCATAAAAATTTATGAGGACTACGTCTAGTCTCTGAGGTTCCTACTAAGATATTTATTTTGTTTGATATAATCCGTAAGATACCTGCTGATTGTTCAAAATTATACATTATCACTGAGATTAAATAAAACTCGAGTAGCATAATTGTTAGAAGTTTCCAGCATATAGTAGTCTTTAAAGGGAGGGCCAAGTGGGTTGATAACCCTCCAATGGTGAACATAAAGACAAACCCTAATGCAAATAGCATTGAAGGTGTTAAATGTATAGATCCACCGTAACAAGTGGCTAACCATGAGAATATTTTAATACCTGTAGGTACAGCTATAATTAATGTGAAATAGTAGATTGGCCCCAATAAAAAAAAACAAGCAAATTTAATTATCATTAGCCAAAAAACCTTTCCCAAACCGTACGTGATAGTTTCCCATCATACGGCTTTCCAGAGAGAAAATAGTACCCTTTTTCTCTCCTGTTTTCCTTCGCATAACCACACCATTACAGTGGGATAACTACTATGAAAACTCCGTCACCTCCGGTCTTTCGGACCTCAGGTGATCCTAAATTCTTTAATAAAACCCATTAAATATTCCCTTAGGCCCAAACAGTCTAACCATGGTTTTTTTTATTATAGTCTGCAACTGCTATAATACATGTAACGTTAGATATGTTTTGTTGTTCGTTATCCTAGCCATAGGAACATAGCTCGAGAGTGAACACTTATTATTATAAGAAATTATTATAGTTATAAGTTAATCTCCCTTTTTAGACATGCTGTTTTCAGCGCATAGTTGGCCTATGCTACCTAAATCTAACGCTTTACACCCCTATGATTAATTTTATATAAAAAATGATCTGAGAAATACGGCAACAACTTAGATTTAATCTTATCTAAATCCTTCTTATTAATCTGAATTTGATACTCCATTTTAGCCAGCTCTGATTTAGGACCTTTATATATTTTAGGATCTCAACGATTTTCATTTGAATATATAGTAGGTTTAATATCAAACTTAATGATTAAAATATTGAATAGTAAAACAACTTCTTTTAAGGTAAATCCATGTGTAATTAAACAAACACCTTTATTACGGCTCGACCCGTCTCCCTGTATTCAATGAGCTAGAGCTATATAATCCAAGTAGAAAAATAAATCAGGTTTAATGGTTTTAATTATTTTTCCATTTTCTTTAACATATAAAAGATTAAAAATTTCCAATAAACATGGCAATTGTCTGGTTTGAAAGGATCAACTATAAAAGGTTTTACCTCTCAAGCTAGCTTTACTTTCATATATAGGACCTGAACATAAATAAGCCAGCTCATTATATACTAATCAGAGATAAGGGAAATTTTTAACAGATTGTTTTAATCCTAGCCGAGGATTTCAATGTCCATTTTTATTCATTCAAGCATCCGAAAGCAATATACCTACAATTATACTTCTAACTCTAGGAGTTAATTGAAAGACATTTCTCT